GGGGAGGAGGGGAGGGGAGGAGGGGAGGAGGGGAGGGGAGAGGTGAGTAATCGGTACGCTGGGGAGGAAAAAAAAGAGACACACACAAATGGACAAATGGAGAAATGCAGAAATGCGGGAACGAATTCTAGGCTGTTTGTCCGGGCGCCCGTGCAACCCACTTGTGCCCGGATACACGCCCGGGTGTGCGGCCGGGCATGAACCCTGGAGGCAGGCCTAGTAGGCTAGCAATGGAAGGAATTACAGAGGATTAACGGACCAAACCAAGAGCAAACCAACATCAAAGACGCAGTTAGAGTAGGTAACAGGATTACTAACGGAGGCTGACGGAGGCTGACGAGGAGGCTGACGAGGAGGCTGACGAGGAGGCTGACGGGGCCTGACGGGGGCTGACGGGGGCTGACGGGGGCTGACGAGCAGTTGAGGCGGGGAAGAGGAGGAGGCGAGAGGGCGATCCGATTCCCAGAATTTAGATTTGCAGGAATGACGTCCGAATGGAGGCTGGCTGTTCGTTTGTAAAAAAGACACTTTGAATTCTGTGTTTTTTTCATGGAGCTTTTGATGATCCGCTTGTTTTCGTTTTTTTTTGGATTGATGATCTCGTTTTTTTTTTGGATTGATGATCTTTCTCTTAAATCCAAAGCAATCTCTTGAAACATACCCATCAGCGGAAAAAAAGCAAAGGCCGTAGGCTCGCTAGCAAGAGGAAGACTAATCACTACAATGATCCTTCTTTTTGTTTTTTTTGGTTTTAGTTTCTACAGTATCCCGCCATGGCCACCCTACCTTCTTTACCCGAATACAACGCACTGTCATTATTCCTGTATTTAGACTGAAAGATACCCCAAATACAGATATATAAATTACCTTACGACGTTGTATTCGTGTGAAGAAGGTTAGGTCGAGAACGCGACTTGAATACTGCTGGTAAAGTTTTCAAACGTTTCTATCTACCTTTTTTTTTTTCTTTTTTTTTTTTAATGGATGATTTCTGCTCTCTTTTTATTGGCTCTTCGAGTATTCGCAGGTGCTGTTGACGGATATAAAAAATTTAATACCACTTTTTTTTATCCTGCAGGAGGGGATGATCCTGCACCAGGGCATGATCCTGCACTAGGTTCATGATCCTGCACTAGGGGATGATCCTGATCCTGCTGTCAACATTTTTCTAGGTCGTCTAGATTCGAACGCAGGTCTTTCATTTTTCAACAGTTCATCGGTGTACCAACTGAGGTAGGGCCGTTGATTTTGTTGTTGTCGTCCAACATTTTCGCAGCTGGCGTGGGAGCTATTTCTGGTGCCGCGGTGGCAGCGACCAGAGGACAACGTATACCGCCAATGACTCTTCAGATGGCTTCCAACTTCGGAATCGCTACTATTTGTTTCTGCGGTGAGCTTCTCCCCTCCCCCTTTCATACCTCCCTCCTTTCTTATCCTCCTCATCTTTCTTCTTCTTCTTCTTCTTCTTCTTCTTCTTCTTCTTCTTGGTTTTTGTTTTTTGTTTTTGTTGTTGTTGTTGTATTTTGAATTTTTTTTTTTTTTTTTTTTTTGGTTGTTGTTGTTGTTGTTGTTGTGGTGCTTCTCCATCTTATGCTGTTGCTGCTGCTGTTGCTGCGGCTGTTGCTGCTGCTTAGCTTCTCCTCCCCCTTGCATACCTCCCTCCTTTCTTATTCTCCTTCTTGTCTTTCTTCTTCTTCTTCTGCTGCTTGTTGTTTGTTGTTGTTGCTCCTGCTGTTGTTGTTGTGCTTCTTCTTCTTCTTCTTCTTCTTCCTTTTCTTTCTTTCCTTCTTCTTCTTCTTCTTCTTCTTCTTCTTCTTCTTCTTCTTCTTCTGCTTATTTTTGGTGATGACATCAATTTTGTTCTGAAATCTTGAACGCCTTACCCCAAAAAAAAAAAAAAAAAARAAAGWAAAAAARAAAAAAAAAAACAGGTGTTCAAAGCTGACAGGTGTACAAAACCGACAAACAACTTTTTTTCACGATGTAGCCCGCAGTCATGCCGTCGTGTAGTCCAGCAGCGAGCGTTCAAGTGACGCTTGTCACCATTAACAACAGTAAACGAAAAACGAAAAAAAGAAAAACGAAAAAAAGGAAAACGAAAAAAAGAAAAAAGAGGAAAGAACAAGGAGGGGATTCTTCCTACCATTGTGGAACGTGTTTGGGAAAAGAACAAAGTGAAAAGACTAAAAAAAAAATTATTTCCGTGTCAGTCAAAGAAAAGCTGTTTGTGAAAAGCGCAATCAAACGTTTTTTGAAAACAAACCAACAAGAAACCCAACCTTAATCCCAAGTGCAGCTACTAAAACCAAGATCGAACTCATAAGTGGGAAAAAAATAAATAAATGGAGTAAGAAAGGTAGGAGAAGATAAGACTGCGAGAAGGAACAACCTATAACCTTTTTTTTTGGGGGGGGGGGGGGGGGAAGGGCGGGGGGAGAAAACAAGAGCAGTAGCAGATGGCTCCAGAGGTACTAGATATCTATATATCTATATATCTATCTATATATACATATATCTATATAGTCACAGAGAACTGGCCGCTGAACTGTGTATATATGTGGCTGTAGACTGCAATGCGTCTCAAATAGGAAATGGCGGCATTCCACAGTCCTTTCCCCTCGCCCCCCCCCCCCTGTTCCCTCTCAATCCGTCTGATAATCCTGAAAGGGAAGGGGCCGAGGTATGCAGCGCAATCTTTTTCTGCATGCCGAAGACATCGGCTTTAACTCATTCATGATCGCACAGTGAAGAAAGGCATTGCCTTTGGGCCGCCAACATACTTGACGCCAACCGAAAATGCAGATGAAAGGGCTGGAAACCGTGGCGAGTGTTGCATAATATCTACGCTCTCTCTCTCTCTCTCTCTCTCTCTCTCTCTCTCTCTCTCTCTCTCTCTCTCTCTCTCGCTCGCTCGCTCGCTCGCTCACGCACAAACACACACAAACACACACAAACACACATGTATGTATATATTCACCTTGTGCACTCACCTCCATTTCTTTGCATTGGAAGATTGCACTCCATACTTTCCCTTACTTTCCCTTTATCGTTCTTTGTTTGTCTGCTCTCCATCTCTCTTCCCTGTGTTTATACCCTCCCCCTTCACTCTGCCTCTTTCTCACAGCGTACGAGTGTGCTGTTATGGCACACGGGGATGGGGGCAGCTCGCACTCAACTTCATCAACGTGGCGATCCTTGTACGTGAGAGGCACGGTGAAAGGGGAGTCAAAAGAAGAATGAGAAAAATGAATGGTTTCACTGTGCCCTTCATGTTTGTCTTGTGTTTTTTTTTTTTTTTTTTTTTTTTTTTTAATTTTTTATTATTTAATTTTTGCCGTTCGTTTCGCACAAAGTGCGCTCTTTTAGTTCATAGTTATGTGACAATATATACCTTGCCGGTTCCTTCTCAGCAGACGATTACCCAGTCTATGACGTCTGTCTCTCTGGAATATGCACACTAAGGAACAGGAGAGCTCCTTCTTTTGAAAAAAGGAAGGAAAAAAAAAAGCTCCTCCTTTTGAAAAAAGGAAGTAAAAAAATCATAACCCCCTTACTGTATAGAAGACGATCAAGAGCAAGGTGGAACGTGACATCTTTTCTGCAGTTAACTCTCATCGTGGCTTTCATCACCTTGCTCTCTCTCTCTCTCTCTCTCTCTCTCTCTCTCTCTCTCTCTCTCTCTTCTTCTTCTTCTTCTTGTGCTGCTGCTTCTTTTCCCCCCCCTTACCCTGGCCTCCTACTCCCTACATGTGGTTGGTATGTACTCTCATGGTGTCTTTCATCACCTTGCTCTCTGTGTCTCTCTTCTTCTTCTTCCTCTCATTGGGGATTTGCTCTTCTTCGTCTTCGTCTTCTTCTTCTTCTTCCTCTTCCTCTTCTTCTTCTTCTTCCTCTTCCTCTTCTTCCTTTTCTTCYTCTTCYTCCTTCTTCTTCCTCTTCCTCTTCTTCCTTTTCTTCCTCTTCTTCCTCTTCTTCTTCTTCTTCTTCTTCTTCCTCTTCTTCTTCTTCTTCTTCTTCTTCTTCTTCTTCTTCTTCTTC